AAAAAAAAAAAAAAAAAAACAAAGATACGCAAATTCGAAGTTAATCGAACTTTGTACCATATAGTGGTAAAGTTTAAAAAACGGTTCACAATGTTGGCTATTTTTCGAAAAACATTTACCATATAGGGCGTCGTCAATAATGGCGCTGAGTTGCAATTTTCATCAAAATTCATACAAAAACCAAGATAGTGTACTAAAAATGATTGTCATTTTTAATAAACTATGTTGGATATTGTACGAGTTTTGATTAAAGTGGCAATTTAGTAGATTATTATTGATGACACCCTATATGATGTACTTATTTTTCGAAAATTGGCCAACATAGAAGACTAAAAATGAATTTAGCCCCTATATATATAGTTGCCGAAATCATATTAAAAAATGTCCATTTAACAAGTTAGTGTACGTACCAATTCTGATAATTTGTTCCTTTTTCTTTTTCTTTCACAATTTTACAACATAATTAAGGGTCATTTAGTGAATCTTTTTTAGAAAAAAAATGTCAACTTAGTTGATATAGTGTGCGCTGGAATAATGTTTAATATCATTAATTGTTTATTGAAAAAAATTTCAGTGCATCTTCCCAGAATATATGATCCGAGATATTCAGACACCACTCTTTCTTGTCGAAGCAAAATTTGATTGGTATCAGGTATATTGTTTATGAAAAAATATATATACACACACAAATATATTTAAAGAAATAAAATAAAAGAATATTTTGTATTGTTGCAGTTGCATATGAACCAGTTTACAGATGACAAAATTTTTAAGAATTGCACGGACGATGTAACACTTTGCTCACCTTCTCATTTTGAAACCATGAAAGGTATTTTATTTTTATATTTATTATTATTATTATTATTATTATTATTACTATTATTTGGGTTTCTCATGTCCAAGTGAATATTTTTCATTTGCTAAATTTTCAGAATACGGTGTGGCCCTCACTAAATCATTGCAAGAAATTCGAGACACGTCGCCTTCCATAGGAATGTTCGCCCACCCTTGCTTCCGTCACGGTCACTTCTACGACAATCTTGGATGGGATGCATCGTACAAGTTGAAAAATAAAGTAAGTTACGTACTAATTTATACGAACGAGCGCGCTTGATTAATTTCATTTTATAGCTAACAAATAATTTGTCATATTTAGGCACTTGTTGAGTTCTTACCTTGTGTAAATGAGTTCTATTGTTGTTGCTTAATTGTTCATGTAAGTTGTCAACGTGATTTGCAGACAATTGCACAAGCTATTGGTGATTGGTACAATGAGAGAGACTGCAGTACATTTCAAGAAATTGATACCGCGCATGAATATCCTCTGAATAGAGACTGCACTGAGATTCCAAGTATATAAACGTATTCATCCAATCACAAACACTTTGAAGATCCCCAAACATATATATCAAAGGGAGGAAATATTGTCCAAATTGTTTATGTACAAGTTTGATGAAATATATGGATATGTATCCATTAGTATTATATTAAACTAATGCGGTAATTGTGCGATGGACGGGATAATAATATTAAAGAAAGCATTTTGATTTGGATGATATGATCATTGTTCAAAACATAAAACACATTTATCAGAATAAAATAAAATATGATTTATATATTATTAAACTCCTCGTAGAACACAATATTCTTTATTTGAATTTGGTATATCTGACATGTCCACAAACTAAAAAACATCATTTAATAAACTATGAGAAAAATGAAAGTGATAATAAAATTAATAAGGTATGATTCAAACAGAGAAATTGCAATTGTATTTTAAAATATATGAAATGTGGTATCTAGCTATTTGTAGAAAATAGAAAAATAGACATTTAGTTATATTTTATAAAATAAGTTAACACCAAACAATATAAATTATTTTTCATCTTATCTAAAAAATACACTTGTCCAAATTTATTATGTCGAGACATTATATTGTGACCGCGCATTTTCTATGATTTTTTTTTCACTTTCTGGTGACCCAATGTTGGAATATGTATATATTATGTATGTGAAAGTTGAGTAAAATAAGTAATGTGAAAATGGTTAGACTAAGATTTTATTTGAAGGAGGTAGAAACTCTTTATTTCTTCTCAACTCATCAATTTACTTTACATCACACATGGGGTATTTATAGGCAACCTTGGAAGTTTCTAGTCCATGCCACATAATTCATTTTCCTAGATTTTTCTACACAAATCTATTCTACATACTTCTACACATGCCATAATAGCTTTTCTTAGATTATTCTACATAAATGTAATCTACCACATTCTAGATAATTCTTCAAATACAATATTATAATTTATAAATAAAGTTTAATTTTCAACACCCCCTCTTAAACTTGATTTGTCATCCCGAGCAAACTCCTGAGCCTTGTAAAATCTTCATACTTGAGGGGCTTGGTAAAAATGTCAGCGATCTGGTCTTGTGATTTGACGTGCTCCACTTGAACTTCCTTTTTTGAAATACATTCTCTGATGTAATGGAAGCGTGTGTCTATATGTTTGCTCCGATTGTGGATCATCTGATTCTTTGCTAGTGCAATTGCCGACTTGTTGTCCACAAAAATTGTTGTTGCCTTCATTTGTGGCCACCCAAGCTCATTTAGCATGTTCCTTAGCCAGATTTCATGACAAACGGTGGATGTGGCGGCTACATATTCTGCTTCACATGTTGACAATGTGACTATCGGTTGCTTTTTCGACATCCACGTGAAGGCAGTATCTCCCATAAAGAATACAAAGCCACTTGTACTTTTCCGATCATCATTGTCTCCAGCCCAATCGCTATCACTATACCCAACCAGTTCGAATTGATTAGTATGTGAATAGAGTAGGCCATAGTTGAGCGTACCTCTCAGATATCGAAGAATTCTCTTGCCCGCCTTGAGATGTGTAGTGGTTGGATTTTCCATGTAGCGACTCACGACTCCGGTTGCGTAGAGAATATCAGGTCTTGTACACGTCAAGTATCTCAAACTACCAACCAAACTCTTGAAAAATGTAGAGTCCACCGCTTCTCCTCCATCGTGCTTGGATAACTTGTTCCCGCACTCTGCTGGTGTGTTAATCGTCTTGCATTTTTCCATATTGAACTTCTTGAGAATCTCTTTGGCATATCCTTCTTGAGTGATAAATATTCCATCCTCAAGTTGCTTGACTTCTATACCGAGGTAGTACGCCATGAGCCCAATGTCGGTCATCTCGAACTCTTTAGTCATTATCTTCTTAAACTCTTCAAATATCCTTGGATTATTTCTGTGAAGATAAGATCATCCACATACAAGCACACAATTAAGATATCTTCACCTTTGATCTTGACATAGAGGGCATGCTCATGTGGGCATTTGATGAACCCATTTTCTTCCAAGTATTTATCGATCCTTTTGTTCCATGCCCTCGGTGCTTGCTTTAACCCATATAGGGCCTTTTTCAATTTTAGAACTTTAACTTCTTGGCCTTTCACCTCGTAGCCCAATGGTTGCTTGATATAGATTTCTTTGTCAAGATCTCCATTTAAGAAGGCCGATTTAATATCCATTTGATGAATCTTCCATCTATTGTGAGCTGCAAGAGAAATTATTAGTCTAATAGTTTCTAGTCGAGCAACAAGAGCAAATACCTCGTCATAGTCGATTCCTTCTCTTTGGTTGTAGCCTTTTGCGACGAGTCTTGCTTTGTATCTTTCAACTTCTCCACTTGAATTTCTTTTTATTTTATATATCCATTTGACTCCAATAGCTTTGTGGCCTTTAGGGAGCGTTGCAAGCTCCCATGTATTATTCTTCTCGATGGCTTTGATTTCCTCATCCATCGCATCTCGCCACTTTTCATTTTGCTCAGCTTCCTCAAAGGTTACTGGCTCACAATCAGCAAATAGACAAAAAAGTGTAAGATCTTCTAACCTTTGAGTGTCTTTATAGATCTCGTGAAGACTTCTTTCACGTGGCGTGATTCTTTCATTTAAGAAAGATGCTGGCGTCTTTATTGCTTGGCCCAGGTGAGCTTGGTGGAGTCACATGTTCCTGCCCGATGTCTCTTGCTTGCTCTTCCATCTTTGATTCTTCAAAGTGTGGAATGTAATTGAACTCCTCGTTGGAACTAAGATCTCATGTTCCTTCTTCGTCGAACTCCACATCGCGACTCATCACGATCTGTTTAGTATCAGGATTATATAGTTTGTATCCTTTAGAGTTAGAATCGTACCCGATAAATATGAAGACCTTGCTTTTGTCGTCGAGCTTTTTTCTTTTCTCGTCTGGTACATGTGCGTAAGCTTTGCTCCCGAACACTCTCAAGTGAGCAATTCCGGGCTTTACACCGCTCCAAGCTTCTAGTGGAGTCTTTCCCCAAACAATCTTTGTTGGAGATCGATTGGATAGATACACCACACATGCAACCGCTTCGGCCCAGAATTCATTAGGAAGATTCTTTGTCTTGAGCATGCTCCTCGCCATCTCGTGAATGGTATGATTCTTCCTTTCAACAACACCATTTTGTTGGGGGATCTTGGGACTGTCAGTGGCCTTCTAATTCCATTTTCTCGACAGAACTCCATGAACTCCTTTGATATGAACTCGCCCCCTCTATCAGTCCGTAAGGCTTTAATTTTGATGCCGCTTTGCTTTTCGACCATGACTTTAAATTCTTTGAAGGCCTCTAATGCTTCAGATTTCTGCTTCAAAAAATAAACCCAGGTTTTTCTAGAAAAGTCATCAATGAAAAGCAGAAAATAATTACTTTTACCGAGCGAACTTGGAGCTATCGGACCGCATATATCTGCATGAACTAGCTCCAATGGCTTTTGAGCACTTGAAAAAGACTCCTTCGGGAATGGTTTCCTAGACTTCTTCCCAAGTAGACACCCTTCGCACAACTGATCGAGATGCTTGATTGATGGTAACCCTCTTACCATCTCCTTCTTTGAGAGTAATTCCAATCCTCCAAAATTCAAGTGCCCATATCGAAGGTGCCACAACCAGGATAAATCTTTATAACAAGATTTAAGACATTTCGCCACATCATTTTGAATGTTTAATAAAAACATTCTATTTTTTGACATTGGCACCGTGGCAATTATATTATTTTTGGTGTCTCTTATTGAAAGGTTATAATCCTTCATGCGAATATCATAACCTTTCTCCAAGAGTTGACCCAAACTCAAAATATTATTTTTTTATATTGGGCACATAGTAAACATTTGAGATAAAATCATGACCTCCGTTTTTCAAACGAATTAATATTTTTCCTATTCCTTGGACTGGAATTTTAGAATCATCACCAAATGAGACATTCCCGCTTACCGACTCGTCGAGCTCCACAAACATACTCCTTTTTCCACACATGTGGTTGCTCGCTCCGGTGTCGAGGTACCAAGTGTCATCTTGTCTTCCTTCTTCTCCTTTGTAAGCTAAAAGCAAACTTGTTTTGGCTTCATCTTTGCTCTCGACGAAATTCGCCTTCTCTTCAATGTTAAGCCTTTGGCTTCTGCACTCAGAAGCAAAATGTCCAAATTTATGACAATTATAACATTTTGAGGAAGACTTATCGTACCTCGATTTTTGGTTGCTCCTTCCTCGACCGTACTCTTTCTTTTCATAATTGGTATAGCCACCTCGTCCGCGTCCTCGGCCTCGACCTTGTCCTTGGCCACGACCTCTCCAATATTCACCACGGTTGTTGCTCGGCCCTTCATCCTTTTCTTTCGAGCTCACTTGCATTTTAAAAAGTTGTTCTATAATATATTGCTTCTTTTTATGTTTTTCTTCGTAATCTTGTAATGAGCCCATTAGCATATCTATCGACATCTCTTCCAAGTTTTTTGTTTCTTCAATTGTTATAACAATATGCTCAAATTTTGGAGTTAATGAGCGTAATATTTTTTCCATTATTCTAACATCCTCCAATGTTTCACCATTTCTTTTCATTTGATTTGGTACCGCCAATACTCTAGTAAAATAATCCGATATAGATTCGGATTCTTCATATTAAGGGATTCAAATTCACCTCGTAAAGTTTGGAGACGTACCTTCTTTACTTGCTCGACGCCTTTGCACGAGACTTGTAACTTATTCCAAGCTTCTTTCGAGGTGGATGCGCTTGAGATCTTCTCGAAATCGTCATCTCCCAATGCTTGGTAGATAAGGAAGAGAGCCTTCTTATCCCTCTTCCTTGAATCCCTTAGCCTTTCCTTTTGTTGTTGGGATAGTGTTGCTTCATCCGGCGGTTCCTCATACCCGTTCTCTACAATCTCCCACACATCATGAGCTCCTAGTAGAGCCTTCATTTTAATACTCCAATTATCGAAGTTGCTCTTGTTGAGAATCGGGACTTGAAAGGATTGTAGGTTGTTTGCCATTAGGGAATGAACTTGGCTCTGGTACCACTTTGTTGGAATATGTATGTATTATGTATGTGAAAGTTGAATAAAATAAGTAATGTGAAGATGGTTAGACTAAGATTTTATTTGAAGGAGGTATAAACTTTTTATTTCTTCTCAACTCATCAATTTACTTTACATCACACATGAGGTATTTATAGGCAACCTTGGAAGTTTCTAGTCCATGCCACATTATTCATTTTCCTAGATTTTTCTACACAAATCTATTCTAAATACTTCTACACATGCCATAATATCTTTTCTTAGATTATTCTACATAAATGTAATCTACCACATTCTAGATAATTTTTCAAATACAATATTATAATTTATAAATCAAGTTTAATTTTCAACACCCAATTGGGTCATGGTTTATTTAATTTTCTTGACAGTTGTTGATTTTTTTTTTTACTTTCTGGTGACCATATTCATTGGGTCATGGTTTATTTAATTTTCTTCACAGTTGAGAATCTACACTGGAAAAGAGAAATATTTATGGATGTAATTGGATATGAGAAAAAAAGAAAAAGTCCAAAAAATGATATAGAAAAATAGAAGATATTATTTTTTTATTTAGATAACTTTAAAATTGTAAATAAATATCAAAGAAAAATACAATGAATAAAAGTGATATGTAATAATAATATAATATCATTATAGAAAACAAAATATGAGAATTAACAATTCATGATTTGACTGTTATTATTATTATTATCAAATAAAGCTACTTAAATTATATATTAATACATTGTTTTTCTAAATTCTTTTTCTTTATTTGTCCTGCCTTTAATGCCAATAGTTCAACTGCTCAAAGTAGAGCAACTACTTATTCTGCTACCGTTAGAGGGACTTCTACTGCTTCTCAATTACGGGGAATAGTCGAACGTTATCGATGAATATATAAACAATGCAAGTCGCCGAGTATCTCTTAAAAGATATATAAATTTTGCATCGAGTAATATAGAAACAATGCAAATCGTTGATTAACTCGTAAAAAATATATCAAATTTGCATCAACGAATATAAGGCATATATAATATAACCCATATGTGATATCTGACCTTCTAACACTAAAACCTTGAATGAGTTCATACATATGTTTACAACCTAAAAAATTCACAAGATCCAAATCGTCAATAGTAAAACCGCTCGATTTTACCTTTGGATGTCAACATCGGTATATGCAGAGACCCTTTAGTCGGACAACATTCTACAAAACACTTTTAAGTAGCTCGCATATATATAT